AAGTATGAAGTTTGACAAAAATTGAATCACTCTATCTTTTACTTTGACTTTCTTAGAGTGAGGAGTATCACATAATAATCCTTAAGATTATTTTATTCTATAAATATTTAAGTTTTCATCCCCAAAAAAGCGCTCCAGAATAAAAATGGTACATTCCTTCTTCGCATTTGGATAAAAAATTAGTTTTTTTTAGAAAACATTACTATAAATTTAGTAGTTATATACCCTTAGATAGCATTATTATTAATTTCTAAAATCTAATTAAGCTGTTTTGTAACAATTAAATGTGGGATTTTTCAATTAAGTACCATTTAAACAATTTTCCTCTGATTACACTTCTTGAAAAGACTCTCTTTTAATATAATAAACATAATACAAAATTTCTAAATTTAACTACTAACAGTTTTTTAGCAATAAATTGTAGATTTATACATTAAATAATCTCATTTTGTAAAGTCAAACTTTTCATCTAATTCTAATTTGAAGTTAGAATACTGATAACCTCCTTTTTGTAAATTTCGTAAATAATTTTTAAAAGCGACTTATCTTAATTTTTTTGAAAATTTTCTTTTTATGTACCCATAAAATAATTTTAAATTAATCAAAAAAAAATTGTTGAGAATAGCTAATCTCATTAATACTTTGATTTAAGGCAAGTTAAAGGAATAGCTTTTTAAGTTTATTGGATAATTTTCTTGATGATTATGGTTAGCCTTTGTTAAGAGACTAAGTCCTATTAATTATTTTTCAGTTTTATGATATTTTTTTTCATTAAATGTTGAAATCTAAATTTTATTTAATGGCTATGACTCATTTCAGTTGAAGATTGTTTGTAATAGCTCTAAGATATTCCTAAATAGTAATATATTTTACCCAAAATTTTTTTATCATTATAAGAAGTTCACAAATTAGTGGGATTACTTTATGCAATTTTAGAAACATTAAAGGTTCAATCTATTTTTGAGTTAATTTTACATTTCTCTATTAAATATAATATTTATTTGAAAGGAAATTAGGAATATTATATAATTCTTAAACATTTGTATATATTACAAAAGCTTACAAGAGAACACCTAGAAATAATCCAACTATATTAAAAAGATTGAAAAAAGGTCAAATTGATATTTAGAGACAATTGATTACACAACTATAATATGTTTTTATTTTATTGCTTTACATTACAAATATACTATGTTATTTCATTTTTAAGATTTATATTTACTTAATAAATTATAGTCCATTTAATAATTGTTGATTAAATACATAAATATTTATTTATTGTCACTATCATTTCAAAATAAAAAAAAAGTTGTAAAATTATCATGAAAATTCATTAATCTCCAAAACTTGAAGTGAGTATAATAAATATGATTTTAGATTTAGATATGTGATAATTATTGAAATTAATAAATAATAATAAATTTTATTAATATTATAATCCAGTTTATTTCTTTTTTTGAATTATTAAATTAGTATAATAAATGAAAACAAATTCCAATTCAATATACGTATATATCTGGAAAGATTAATAATTTTTTTACTATATATATGATATTCAATTATTATAGAATTATTTTTTTATCCTTTTGGGGTAGTAGGTGGTGAAAGCTTCTCAAACCGTAAGTGATTTGGTGTGAAGTGCAGCAAGCCCTAATGCGATTAGGGATATCTCCTTTGAACAAATAGAGGAGAACTAATAGTCCGAAGGCAAGGAACTGGTCCCGTATTAAAAATGCGGGACCCATTATATCTTACTTTTGATCGATCGTATATCTCTTCTTATGGGCAGGCAAGTTTGAAATGAAGAAGGTCTTTAAATGAATGATTTTATATATATTTCATTTTTTCATATTTCTGCCATTTATAAAACATTACTAAATATATTTCTCAAATAGAATTAGATAAATATTGTATATTTCTGATTATCTTTAATTACTCATCATTAAATATTTTAATCAAGTAAATATTAAATGATGGGTAATTTTAGATTGGGAAATTATTCAGATTCAAAACTTTATCATCTTTAATTAATTTTTCTATTCTTTTTCTGATATTTTTGATATATATTAATTTTTAGCTCAAATGCAATTCGTTATTTTTTATCTTTTGTAACCAAAATAAATTATTATTAATTATAATTTAAATCCATATTTTTTAATTGGTTCAAGTATTATAATAAGATTGATCAAAGCATTAAAATAATATATTTTTATTTTGTATTATTATTTTGCTCTAAGTAGTAAATTAAGAAACTAGTGTTATTTTTCTTAAAAATAAAGACAGCTTAATCTCTAGTAATGAAATTAATAAAAAAGGGATAACAAAATTTTTTTTTTGAGTTATATGCTTATTTAAATAAATTTTATGATAACCATTAACAACTTATCTTAATATTAAATAAAATGGATTCTTTGGGTATAGTTTCTCATAGATTAATCAATATGAGGATTATTTGAGATCCAATTAATATCATTATTAAATCTAACAAAATAACAATTATTTAAAGCAAAATGATGAGTTTTAAATCGATGGATGTCAAAAATCTTATTTAATCTTTTGTAATTAAGACAATTTAAAAATAATTTTAGTGTGTCTTTTTGAATTCCATTCAATAATACAATAATTTTTATTACTCCGATAAAAATCTCATAAGAAATAACGTATATAGATAAAATAGTATGATTATATTTACTTG